ACATGTCACATGTTTTCTTTTTCTTGTATTTTTTGTAACACTATTAACATAGTATATTATATAATAAACAATTTCTGCACATGTATATGAGATATTTGTGCAACAGGAGTAAAATTGTTACTTAAGAGATGTCTCTGTACAAGTATGTTGCATGTGTTTGTAATCTTTCCATACTTATGTTTGTGTGTACATATTATATAGCCATACTTTTAGATATGAAAAGCATATATGTTATATATGCTTTTCATATTTATATGACTTATTGCTAAGTCACTTGTTAAGACATATACACGTCTATATATATACATATGTGTGTATGTTCATACAAACATGTATACAACATATTTCCCATACTTGTAGATATACCATACATAGCATTTATATAGTGCATGTGTATACAAGTATATTTCTACACATTATCTGTGTACATTTGCATTATTTTATGAATCGTAAGAATGGAAAAGGTGAGTCAGAGGGAACATATAAGCACATACAGGAGCATAAATGCACATATAATTTTGATTGATACTATAAAGTTACCTTTCAAAACAATTACATGAAGTTATAATAGTTAAAAGAGTGACTGTTTCCTAACAACTTTGCCATTCCATTTTCTTTTTGCCAGACTTGTAATTATACAAATTTGGTTTTGTTTACATGTGAGATTGAGTATCTTTCATTTGTTTTTTGACTATGTGTATATAGACTATAAACTGCCTCATAACTTTGTCTGTTTTCTAACTGGGTTATATTTTTATTGGTTTATGTGTTTATTCATATATTTTAGAAATTACTCTTTTGTCATGTATGATCAAAAAATTGATTTTAAATATTGCCTATGGTGTCTCTTGTGCCTTTGGGATTGGGATTTGAGCATATGTGACATGGAGAAAATTTTTCATGAAGTTGTGCTAATCAAGAGTCATAGGGGCAGGAAAACAGGACAAGGAATGCACAATAAGATTTTCCTCTCCTATCCCTGCCTGAGAGGTACTGATCCAAATAGAACATTCTTTTCCTTTGTTAAAAGACTCAGAAAAGTGCCTGCCAGATTTTTAGGCCAGTGGAAGATAGCAGAGAAAAGTTCCCACATTCAGTACCTGCCTGCATAAGTGATTCACAATCAACTCACTGGCTGTTGAATCAGGTCTTTGGGAAAACAGAAAGACCAGAAGTCTAAAAATCTTCCTGAAGCTGGTGCAGTGGTAAACGCCTATAACCCCAGGTACTTGGGAGGCGGAGGCAGGAGGATAGGAAGATTGCAAGTTTGAGGACTGAGCAATTTAGTAATTATGTCTCAAAAAAATTTTTTTAAAAAAGGGGGGGGAGCTGGGGATGTAGGTCAGTGGTAGGATGCTTGTGTAGTGTGCTTGAGACCTTGGGTTCAATCCCCAGTACCACTACAAAAAGTTTTTGTTGTTGTTGTTTTTAAGACCTTCCTAATGGTTCCAGTTCTCACACTTGCTGGCCATGTAATGTCCATGATTTGAGCCTGTCTGGACATTAATATTTTCACCTGTAGGATTATAAATAATCCAAAATTCAAAGGGTCACTATAAGGAAAAAGCAAGTGATTCAAGCACAAGTACATAATACTTTTCAACTCCTAGTTGTTAATTTTTTGAAAAGCACATAACCTAACCAAAAGTTCCTTGGAATTCCAAAAGTATTTGGAATTCCACATATTCTATTAGTTGTTTTGCTAGAAAATCACCTTTATAATTACATTTTGCTTAGACAAATTAAAATTAGAATTTCTCTCCACACCAAAACTGATAGAGAACAGGTGCTAGACATAAGGAGAAAACAAAATGGAATTTAAAAGTTCAATTTAAAAAAAAAATTCTTTGAACAGAGAACCTACTATACAATGTGTGTGTGTGTGTGTGTGTGTGTGTGTGTGTGTGGTGGTGGGGATTGAACTCAGGGCCTTGTGCATGTGAGGCAAACACTCTACCAACTGAGCTATATCCCCAGCCCTATAATCATCTTCTTACTCAAATGGCATTCCTCTGAATAGGGCAACTGCTCTTTTCTTCTGGACAAGTTTCCATAGAAAGAAAACAGTTTAAGCTATACAGGTCCAATAAATACAGACAGATCCCTGAATTAAAATTTGGCTAAGAAACTGAGCCAAACAAGCACAACAAGATAATATGATGTTGAATTATATATGTCAACTTGGCATTTGCTGTAGTACCCAGTTTTGGGGGGTGGGGTGGGGGTGAGGGTGGGGAAAGCACCAGTCTAAATGTGGCTGTGAAGGTATCTTTTAGATGTATATGAATAAAGCATATACAGCCCATAAACTGAATGGGTCTCATCCAACCAACTGAAGGATTTAAGAGAAAAGTCTGAGGTGCCTCAAGCCTGCAAAACCCACTCTTTCCTGGGTTTCCAGGCTGCCTGCAAATTAGTAACTTGCCAGCCCCGCCATTTCCTGAATCGATTCTTAAAATAAGTTTCTTACCTATCCTATCCTACCCTAGAGGCTCTGTTTCTCTGAAGAACACTGGCTACTATAAATAACAATTTCAAGAAATGAATCAGGGCCTTCTCTCCGTTCCCCACCGAGATTTGTTACCACAGCTAATCACTTTGGGCCCAGGAAACTCTTCACTCCTCCATTCTTCTAGAATCCTTAAATTCTATGCTGAATTCAGCAGCATTGTTTCCTGCAGAGGAGTTATTTCTCTGACCTACCCCTTTCTAAAGTGCCCTTCCTCAGCGATCCCTCARAGTCCCTCTCTCCCATGAAGTTTTTTGAAGAGAATGGTGTCATAGGTGCCGGAGGTAAACCAGGGTCTGATTTTCACCAAGCYTACATTCTACTGTGAGACCGACACCACAAATAACTTTTCACACTTAAGTACTGTAAGGAGGGTGGGGCTGCCGTGGTGTGCGGGTGCCCTAAAGGGAAGGCGTTTCTTAGCTGAGATGGTGAATAAGAGACCTGAACGGAAAGGAGCCAGCCTTGAGAAGAGCGAGAGAGAACATTCATTTCAGACAGAAGGAGGCAAGTAGCTCCTGCTCTGAGCAAAGTCTGTAGGTAAATGATGAGTGAATCCTACCGGAAAAGTGCCTTTGTGAAATCTAGAATTTAAGAGCAACCGTTAAGTCTTACTTCATCCGATCGGCTGGATCTTCAGTCCGGGGGACAGCTTCACCATCAACGTCACGTGACAGGACCGCGGAATGGGAAAGGAAAGCACCCTGCTGCTCCATTTTGGTCTTTCGGTTACAGAACAGCTTTAGATGGGTGGCTTGGCCATCCCAGGCCCCACTTTCCTCCTCCTTAAAGTGAAGGGATTTGGTGGCTGATACATAAGGACCTGTGAGTTCTTTCTCTAAAGTAGAAATGGTTCCACTTGCCAGGCTACTAGGCCCGAACCCATGAACGGGGGGGGGGGGGGGGGGGGGGGGGGGGACAGCCGCTGCGAGGCGGGCCACATTTCCAGGCCTAGAAAGCTGGGCCTAGTCCCACAAGCTCTTGCACACTTTGGGTCGTCCAGGCCGCGGTTCTTGCCTAAGAGGCTCTGGACAGATCCAGACGGACCGGGACCGCGGGCCCAGGAAGTCGGCCACCCGGTCAGCGCCGCGCGCCTGAAAGCTGCGTCCTGGGCTCGACTTCCCGCTTTCAGAGAGTCGCCGAGCCCGCCTCCGAGCTCCAGACCCCGAACACTGACTCGCCAAAGTGCGCTCTAGGACACGGCGGCTTCTCCGTGTCCTCAGGCCGCTCGGTGTCCTGGAGTCACCCCGTGTTTCTGCGGCTCCTTCCTTTCCTTCCCCCGCTTTTCCTGTTCCGAATGGACCACCGCGGAGGAGAAAGGAGGGAGGCTCTCTAAAATGAAATAATCAGTGGCGTGGAAGGAAAGAGAGGACGGAGGGGACAGCCAGCGCGCAGAGTGGTCAGGCAGCGGCAGAGCAGGGTGGCGGAGCGCTGGGCGGAGGCGGCGGCGGCAGCTGAACGCTGCAGTCCGCGCCACGCTCCAGTCCTCTCGGGTGCCCGAGCGAAAGCGAGCGGCCCCTGGGGGAGGGGAGTTCGGGAGGAGGAAAGAGGAAGAAGTGCTCAGATTCTCCGCTGTATCTTGAAGCCAAAACCGAAAATAAAAATGGCCTAGATGTAGCGGATTCGGTGCTCACCCTAGTCCGGTAACTCAGGCGACATCCAGTGCTGGTAGGGGAAGGGGAGCCGTACTCAGCCTGGACCCGGGCATTGGCTCCACCTACCTGGTCCCGAGCCCGGCCTTCGGTATCCAGATGTCGTGTCGGTGCGTGCAGCGGTTTCTTTTAATTTCGCTGTTTTCCCAAATCTAGAAACCGAACGGACGGAGCGGCATTTTCTTTCAAAACTGACATTCAGCCTCCTGATTGGCGGATAGAGCAAAGAGCTGACCTTGTTTTTCTTTCTTTCTTTTTTTCTCTTTTAAATAATCTGATTTGGAAAAAAAGGAGGACTCTTGACGCTGGGCGCTAGGGATAAAGAAAGGGAGCCCCGAGCGGCACCCAGCAGGACCCGACCCGCGGGAGCGCGGCGGTTCCTGGTAGGGCCGTGTCAGGTGACGGATGTTGCCAGGGGGCGGGCTGCCTGGAGATGCGTCCAAGCGTCAGGCCCGGAGGCTGCCACCGCGTGGGGCGCCCGCGTTGAGGGTGGGAAGGTGGTGGGGCGGGGGAGCGGTGGGGATGCGGATAAGGCGGGAAAAAGCGGGTAGGCCGAAAGGACAGGAACCCAGGACGCCAGCCGCTCCCGCGCGCGCCTCCCTCTGGGCGCCTCGGCAGCCTTTCCCGCGCGCACTGGGCTCCGAACGTTTCTGCGATCTTGGGCTGCAGGGGGTGGGGGGGAGCAATGGCGCGCGCGAGGAAGGAGGGTGCGCGCCTGCGGGGCGGAGATGGGCAGGGGGCGGTGCGTGGGTCCCAGTCTGCATTCGGGGGACAGGGGCGGTGCTGCTTATCTCCGGTGCTGAAGGGAGGAGAAGCAGCTGCCCCGTGGCTGTGGCAAGAATATGGTACGCAGGTTCTTGGTGACGGTCAGGATTCGGTCAACTTGCGGCCCACCGCGAGTGAGGGCTTTCGTGGTGCATATCCCGCGGCTCGCGAGGGAGTGGGAAGTGTCGCGTGAGCAGGCCGTGGCGGCCCTCGTGCTGATGYTAGTGAGGAGTCTACGCAGAGGGCAACAATCGCATCCTAGAAGACCAGGTAGGAAAGCCCCTCAAAAAAATGCTGGGTGTAAAGACACTTGGATGAATTTTGTTTGGTATGATTTAGTACAGAGATAAGTCATCTGCACGAGGCGAGGAGGAGGAGGAGAAGGAGGAGGCTATGGGGTTAGGAACTGGACGCCTTTCCCCCATTCGTCTTACAGACACTTAGGAGATGCAGTTCTCCCACCACATTGAGCCCAGAGCCCCGAGCCCCCTTCACAGACCTCAATCCTGTGAAACCCTAAGGGGAACCGAAGGGTTCTAAACCCACCTTAGAAGTCAGTGGCTTCTGAATTTCCTCGGTGGAAGTCAATGACCTACACACACACACACACACACACACACACACACAGAGAGAGAGAGAGTAAGGTGTATCTCTAGAGAACTTTATTTTGCCTTGGGGGAAATTACTGCTAACGGCCTTAGTTTTCTAGAAACCGCCTTTTTTTTTTTTTTCCACCCAGCCTCCAGGCTGAGTGGCCCTCCCCATGTCCAGAAGTGGTGAAGGACAAGAGGGAATGTGGACGTGCACACAGTTTGACTTAATGAAATACTGCCACAAGGAGCAAACACTTGCTTCTTGGGGATTTTGCAGCCCAGAGGGAGATGAGATGGAGGTTTCAGACTTGGCGGCCTGTGTGATCAAACTGCTCAGGACAAAGCGCCTGTGGTTAGTTAGCACAAGGTAGAACTACAGTGGTGTCCCTGGGGAATCACAAATACGTTTTTTAATCATGTCAGACCACAATTAACAGAATTATACAATGAGGCCTACTTCTTGAAAAATAGAAGCTATGGAAGTTGCGTCCTCACATGGGATAAATCTTTTATTCAGCCGGTGTAATTTCCTATGACCAAGAAAATTGAATATATAGTTGTAATATGCAAAACCTTAATTAGAACTCGGAGGTAAAATCTAAAATTAATTTAGTGAGCTTTTATTTTTGTGACCTTCCTCGTGGAATCTCTTCCCCGGAAATACATAGCTCCAAAAAGCAAAGGCTGGTGGAGGGGGGAATTTTTTTAATTGCCATGTCTTTTTGACACAGAACTAAAAAATTGTTTAAACTATCAGGATTTTTTTTCTAATTAGCAAAAAAATCTACAATTTATAGGAAAAGTGCACTTTCTATTTTATTTCATACTACTATAAAAGTTAACTTTTTAAAAATCAGTAGAAGGAGCTTATAAAATTCTCACAGCTTCTTGCTAGATTTGAATTTTAGGTGATTTAATTTAAAACATTCACAAGATTCTGATTTTTTTTTCCCAATGGTGTTTTTTTTTTTTTTTTTGCTGTATCAGCAAATGTTTAGCCACTGTGCTATTAAGTTTGAATATAGTTGTTACTATTATTCTCTTAAAAAACTTGTTTTATTACTCTGGTTAATATTACTCTATAAAATTATTTTATTTAAATTATTAGGATGATTATAGAAATCTATAATTAGAAAATAGCAAAACTGCTAATATTTGTAATTCTATAATAATGCATTTCTATTTTAGAAATATAAAACATATTTGGCTACTTTAAATTAGAGAACATATTCATTGTATAGTATATCTGTAGTATAAAATAGAAAAATAGGTTTGTTGAAAGTAACCATTTATTTCTGGATATTTAGGTATAAACCAGTTTTCAGGAACTATGTGTAATGGTGCTTAGGCATTCGTTCACTATGTGAAAGGCCCAGCTTTCAGGAAATATCTGATGATAGAGCACATGGCTTGTCGTCTTGAAAAAATGCATAATTTTTCAATTTTCTATGTGAAATTATACACATAATATAAACATCTACAGTATTAATTATAAGTGATATGTAGTTAAATATTTCACTTAGAGTTATATTGATTTAGGAATATATATGGTGCTAATTATGCTGAGAATCATAATTCATTGAGAGGTACAAGTTGTTAAAAATTACTTGCATGATTATTTAATATCAATAAAATATGTAAGGTGCCATTACTTTAACATGATTTTAAATTATTTGCAAATATGTTCATTATTTTATTTATATATGACTGGAAATGTGTGTCATAAAATTTCACATTGGACAGGAATGTGACTCAGTTATAGCAAATACTTCAAATGCAGGAGACCCTGAGTTGGATCCATAGCAACATACACACTACTATCTACATAACTAGTTTCTTATCTACCTATATCTGATGAATTACAATACTGATTTGTTATTTCTACTTTGATGTGTTTACAAAATTGTCATAATTTTATTATGAAGTTAAATATTTTTTTGCAGAGCTATTAAGGAAGTCTCAGAGTGTTTTTGTTTTTAACAACATGGAGTCCTCTCATGGCAAACACTGTGCATTAACCATTACTATCCTAGGTACATAATTCTAAGTGGTTTTGTGTTCTAAATGAACAATAGCTCTTTTAGAAACTTAGACTTCGTGTTCATTTTATTTCTTTGAGGATTCTTGAATTTAAAACATCTATTGTCATTCTAAGATAGAAATACTATTGTCTACTGCTGTCTATTTCCTTATTTTACAGGCCTGCTATTGCATGCTAGTTCATGACTAGTAACTCCTGTGATGGAGTTAAGCTCAGCCATTTTCCTAACATTAGAATAAATACGGTTAGTAAAATGATACAAATTATCTGAGAAAAAAATATTTTTTTATTGCAAAATTGACCATTTGGCCTAGCTTTTTCTCTTATAAAACTTCTAGTCAGCCCAATATGCTAGTGCATGTATGTCTGTAATCACAGTGACTGGGGAGACTGAGGCAGGAGGATCACAAGTTCAAAGCCAGCCTGGGAACAAGCCATAACCTGTCACAAAATAAAATAATAAGTGCTGGTGAAGTGTTTGCCTAGCATGCTTGAGGCCCTGGGCTCAGTCCCCAGCACACCAAAACAAAATTTCAGTCCTTTTTGAGAAACATAAAAATCTCACTTACTCCCTCCATATTAAGAAGCTGGAGCTGGGTGTGGTGGTGCCTGCGTATAATTCCAGTGGCTCCGGAGGCTGAGGCAGGAGGATAGCGAGTTCAAAGCCAGCCTCAGTAAAAGCAAGGCGTTAAGCAACTCAGTGAGACAAAATACAAAATAGGGTTGGGGGATGTGGCTCAGTAGTTGAGTGCCCCAGAGTTCAATCCCCTGTACAAAAAAAAAAAAAAAAAAAAAAAAAAGACACGCTGGGCCAAACTGAAACTGAAGCTCCAGAGTATAACATCCTAGACACTCTATCAGCTGAAAAACCCAACCTGATAAACAAGTTTTTTTTGTGTGCTGTATTTCTGAAGTTTAAATTATGCAAACATAGACATTGCTTTATTTTCTAAATACAAAATTATAATATTGAAAATTAGTTTTTCTCTAAATTTGGACTCTGACATACCTAATCATTAATATTGCCTCTGTCATCTGATAAGATTAATGCCTTCCTTAAATACTTCACAGGCTAATAATAATAATAATGATACATTATAGTAGTATCAAGAGCTTTAAAAGTACTCACACTTTTATCCAGCTATTCTTTATCTAGGCATTATCTAAGGAAAGAAAGATTCAAATAAAGATCAACACAGTGGCCTGTGGGCTCTTGTAATCCCCGCTATTCCCAGCTACTGCAGAGGCTAAAGCCAAGAGAATGGCAAGTTCAAGGCTATCCTGGGCCACTTAGCAAGATCTTTTCTCTCTCTCTCTCTCTCTCTCTCTCTCTCTCTCTCTTTTTTGAGAGAGAGAGAGAATTTTTTAATATTCATTTTTTAGTTTTTGGCGGACACAACATCTTTGTTTGTATGTGGTGCTGAGGATTGAACCCGGGCCACACTCATGCCAGGCGAGTGCGCTACCGCTTGAGCCACATCCCCAGCCCCAGCAAGATCTTCTCTCAAAAAATAAAAATAAGAAAAAGTTTTCCTAGCATGTGCAAGGCCCAGTACTATATAAAAGGCAGGGAAAAACTGTAAAAAAGGGGAAAAGAAAAACATCAACACAGATAGACAGATAGCTGCGAGAAATTGAAAAATGCCTAAAATTCTGGCAATAAGGTGTTAAATTACACGTCAGATATACTCTTGAGTATTAGAGAATTGTGTTTTGCATAATTTTTAATAGAATATATAATGATTATGTTGAACCGTTTTAAAAGATTCAAATAATCATTACTTTTTGCCCCTCCCCCTTCTTTTCCCCCTCCCCTTTCCCCCTTTCCTCCTCCTCCTCCTCCTCCTCCTCCTCCTCCTCCTCCTCCTCTTTCTTCAGTCTCTCCTTATATTTATCATGGTTTCCTCAGGATGGGGAGGATTTGGATGATATTTAACTCCTTCGTTATACTTTTTAATTTTCCAAAGTGGGTCATCATTAGTAAATATACATTATTTTCAAAGCTTTTGACATTGCAAAAAAAAAATTGTACCCAACTAAGAGCTTAATTAGCATTAGATGGGTGAAAAGGGCGAAAAGCGAACTGAGTTGTGAAAGTAGGATGTGTATGAAGGTGACAATTTGAGGGGAAGGGGTGAGAGGCCTGGGTAGTATAAAGCGGCAGCTCTCTACCTGTTTTTGCCAAGGTTCTTGAGTGTTGGGCAGTGGTCACAGCCCTCTCTCTCCCCTCGCGATCCCTCACTCAGCTCTTCAMGCCCCACCCCACCCAGCACTCAAGTTCGCCGGGCGGGGCTAAACTGGGAATACAGGAGATGAGCCCCCAACTCTGCTTCTCTGGTCTCTCAGCTCAGACCACCCTCCTAGACCCATACCTTCCGACCCTCTCAATTCTTAAGACCCTTCTGATGCCAGAGATTTAACTGGCAGCAGGGGCAGGACCACCTGCAAGAGTTCAGAGTCTTGATCTACTTACCGCYGCGCTCCAAACACGCACCCCTTTCATTTTTAGCCTTACCTGGGCCCTGCTTCTCCCCTGTTTAAGCAGGTAAGATGTGTTACGAATAACAATAGCTGCTGTCTGGGGTTAGTCGTGGAGCAGGAGGGGGCTTCGCTGGTCAGGGAAGGAGATGGGGCGG